GGAAATGTCCGGTCCTTAGTAATCCAGAGATAACTGGTCCGATCCTTAGTAATCCAGGGATAACTGGTTCGATCCTTAGTAATCCAATGATATCTTGTGCATTCTTAGTAATCCAGGGATAGCTGGTCCGATCTTTAGTAATCCAGGGATAGCTGGTCCGATCCTAAGTAATCCATGGATAGCTGATTTGATTCTTAGTAATCTAGGGATAACTGGTCCAATCCTTTGTAATCCAGGGATATCTGGTTCGGTCCTTAGTAATGCAGGGATAACTGGTCCGATTCATCCCGGACGTTGCCGGCAGAGTTACGGATGTACTCCGGTTGTTCCCGGTCGTACCCCGGTCGTTCCCGGTTCACCCCAGACGTCTACCGGGGCTCTGCCGGGATGTAAGTGAGACTGTAGCTTTAGTAATCCAGAGATAGCTGGTCCGATCCTTAGTTATCCTGGGATAACTGGTCAGATCCTTAGTAATGCAGGGATAGCTGGTCCGATCCTTAGTAATCCAGGGATAACTGGTTCGATCCTTAGTAATCCTTTGGTGGAAAAGCAGAAAAAATACAGATTTAAATATGGTTATAATATATTTCACAGACATTTTAATGTCTTTTTTTTTAAGAAACAAATTAGTAAATTTAAATACATTAATACTGATATATAAAATATCATGTAAATTACATTACATGGATTGTTTAATATTGAAAATAACTATAACTGTACAATATACCACATGTTTACTCTTTGGAAGATCTTATATATTGTTATTTTGACATGTAAGATTTTCAATCTTTATAATGATATCAAGTGATAAAATAATTTCATATTCGATGTCATTTTGGCATACAGACATACATTGTCGCCAAAGACCTTGTAACATTTTCTATTTGAAATGAATATTCACGTTGGATCCCATACATGTCTGAAATAATTCAGTTATGAAACACGAAACTTATTTAATACAAATAAATTAAATATGTTTCATTATCACAGGAAATAACACAGAACTATCAACTGAAAGATATAAACGGCAGAATCGTGGATGCATTGACTGTATTTAGCCTCTCCATCAGAGCTCTGAAAGACCACTTGATGACGGTTCTTCAAAACGGGTACTCTGGCGTTCGAACTAATGACGTCACGTGGGTTATCACCGTCCCAGCTATTTGGAATGATTCGGCCAAGAAGTTCATGCGTCTCGCCGCTGAAAAGGTAGTCCAGCGTTAAAAACTTATTTTTAAGAAAATAATACCTTGTCTGTATATGTTTAATCACTTATTCATTCTTTGTATAAGAGACGTTTTATTGCTATATGTAAACAATCATAACGAAACTTAAGAGACTGAGAAAATTTAGAACTGTAGAATAATTGTAGAAAAAAACTGTTAAAACTTAATGATCAGATAACTTAAAATTTTTTTTGGTCATCTTTTTTCTAAATGAGGCCATCATTTAGTGCAGACGGCAAATTTTGATATACATGTATTGCTTACAGGCTGGGTTGGATAAAAACAGTATTGAGATAGCATTGGAACCGGAAGCTGCCTCTATTTTCTGCAAATTGCTTCCAATAACACGTGACCCAGAGACAGAGACCGGAATGACTCTTTTTCCACCAGGGGCACGTTATATGATTCTCGACTGTGGAGGTAAGTTGTAGCATACCATGTAATAAGTGTGTATGTGTGTTGTCACTATAAACTTTAAAATTGAATTTACATATTAATTCGTTTGGAGGAAGGCTGTACATGTACTGTATATAGTTTGTCACACTTGACTGTAAAGTTACTTTGAAACATACCAAGCAATTTTACCTGTAAAGGTAGGCTGTAACGAGGTATGCTAAATTCTATTTTCACACGTAATTATTAGGATAATACAGTATGCATTTGTATATGCTATAAGGTAGTATGTACTTTGTTGTCAATGTAAAGTATGGAGGTAACTTTTTGCGTATCATCCAGTATTCCTTTTAACGCCAGCGAAGGTAGACTTTAATATTATGCATTATTCCTTAATGAAATTTAGATTTTGAAGAATGCGGCAACTTTTAGTTTATTGTTATCCTTATCCTTTAAAGGTGGTACAGTTGATGTTACAGTTCATGAAGTGCTCGAGGACAATACTCTGAAAGAACTTCATAAAGCCACAGGCGGCAACTGGGGAGGGACAGTTGTCAATAAATCATTTCTGAACTTTATTTCAAGTCTGGTAGGACCGGGTGTATTTAATGATTTCTCAAAGTCGCACAAGTCCGGATATCTCGAACTGCTGGAAGAATTCGAGAATAAGAAGAAAATGACAGCGGCTGATTCAACAGAAAGGGTGACAATACGTATACCAATCGGATTACAGGAAATACTTCAAAACGAAAAAGTAAAGCAAAAATTGCAGCAAAGATTGTACGCGAATAAAGTTGATATATATGGCGACAAACTAAGAATGGACGCAGGGTTATTCAGAGTATTTTTCAAACAAGCGGTAGGGGATATTATTGCACACACGCGTGATCTGATGGAATCTCTACCAAGGCCAGTGAAAGCTATACTTATGGTCGGGGGTTTTTCGGAATCCCCAGTATTACAAAAAGCTGTAAAAGAAGCGTTCGGTAATATGGTCAAGGTCATTGTCCCGATTGAATCTAGTTTATGCGTTATGAAAGGAGCTGTGCTGTACGGTCACCGTCCATCGAGCATTTCTGCAAGAAAAAGCCGCTATACGTATGGAGTTGCAATGACAGTTCCATATATAAAGGGAACGCATCCAAGCAATAGAAAATATGAAGACGACGGGAAGAAGTGGTGCGATGGAGCTTTTGACAAACATGTAGAAATTGGACAAACAGTGACGCCAGGGGAAGTACAAGCTACAAGAACATACTATCCCATGTCGACATCAGACACAATCCTTCCTTTGATTTTATATAGATCCTCTGATGCCAATCCAATGTTTGTTGACGAAAGATCTTGTGACTTCGTTGGGTTTTATTTTGTAAAAAGACAACCAGGTGTAGGCGAGACGACGAAGCAGGATGCAGTTAAAGTACGACTGGTGTTTGGTAACTCTGATATAAGAGTTGAAGCTATCAAGTCTGACGGAATCGTACATACAGCTGATTTCAAAATCGATTAATGCCATGACAAGACGGTGATAACTGTATACTGTATTGTGACAACTGTTATAGAAATATTTGCTGTTATTCACCAACGTACGACAAAACTGATGAATATAAACATATAAATTTCATGACAAAGTGCTATTGGATAATTTAGGGAGATAAAGGATTTCATTTGATTAGAACTTGGAAAAATACTTTGAGAAAAGTGTTAACCGGTAAGAAAATCATGCACTGTGTCAAAACTTTCACAAAAAGTTTGATAATACTAGACTAAATGAAATATGTATCACTTCACTGCCTTGACAAATGGGAAAGAATTGGAAATATCCATCGTACTTCTTTATTATTTTAGGACAGAAAATATCAGATATAGACTGATGTAGAGGCAAAATTTAAAGCGATAATATTCCTTTGAAAATAATAAAAAGGATATCATTTAGAGCTCCGGTATTTTGTAATTAAGGATGTAACAATGTGTGTGTTTGGGTTTGTTTACCCTCGCGAAAGAGACCGTATGGGCGAGAATAATGATGTAAAAGTACTAAAGTGAAATTTTATATTTGTGTACATGTATATAAACAATTTTTTAAACATCGAAGAATATGTTAAATATGTATTACAAATGTTTAAATCGCATTATATATAATCATTAACTTCCCTGCATTCATTTCTTGTTGAAAAAATTTACTTAGACTTTATAGAAAATAAATTTATATTTACCTCCCTTTATTTACATGAAATGTCATTTCGGTAACATTTTTACAAATAATGCTTTTTGGAACTTACAATATTGATAAATTTTCATTTGAGCATCATACTAGTATTTATGATATGAAACCATAAAAATTTGAGGTACAGGATCTTTAAAGTGACATTATGCCCATCCAAGGGTATAAATGAGTGAATATGTGAAAGTCAAAATAAATTTTTATTTCACATTGACAATAAACAACGCACGGTTTCCAAACAAATTTTTCGTAAATGGCCATTAGAATTTACCTGCAACGTTCAGTTCATAAAAAGAGTGGGCAGTCCTTTTTTATTTCATGCTTTCCAGTGTTTTATTGTAATATATCAGATGATTATATTCTGATAAACCACTAGTAAAATTTATAAAATATAATTTTCACTGTAGCCGGACTATATCTGGATGCGGATGAAAAGAAAATCATAACTAAATGGAATAACAGGCAAAAATAAATGCCGTCGTACGTAAATTTTGCTTCTTTAGGAAAAGTAAGTCGAACTCACCATTAATCATGTTAAAAATGTAACAAAATTAGGGAAATTTAACAGAACTGTATTTCAAAATTGATGATGTGACGTCATGATATGATGACGTCACAAAGGAGAATGCGCGACGTTACGCGGCAAAATCAGTAAAACATACTTAAAATTACTTAAAAAGCATGAAATAAACAGAAAATTTATTTGTTTTACATATAAGATTGAAATATATTTCATTCGTGAACACCAGCTATGATATTTTCACTCGTGGCTACGCCACTCGTGAAAATATTGCATCTGGTGTTCACTCAGTGAAATTATATTTCAATCTTACATGCAAAACAAACAAATATCCTCTATATATTTTTAGGCAGATTCAAATTTTATTTGAAACATTTTTCAATATGAACTGTTGGTCAATCACCATTTTAAATAGCAGTCGATCTAGATAGTTCAGCTTAATTAACTATGAAAATATGAGCATAATGTCACTTTAAAGGATAATATAATACCGTGTTTAGTTTTTTAATCATAAATGGATTGTATACAACATTATTACAAAGTGACAAAACGTTAAAATAGACATTAATTTTAGACGTACGTTATAAACCATATACATTGCATCTCTCATTAATTAGTATTTATTACATGCTTTTCGGTGGTTTATAGAAATATATCAGTGATATAAAACTGGTAATTTCACTGTTTGAAACAGTGAAATTACCACTTTGATAATTTCACTGTTTTGAATTTAAGCCCCTGACGTTGTTTCAATGAAATACCAGCGTGCAAAGTACTGGGTACCAACTTAATGACGTGACGTCGTAAATGACGTCACGTTGTATTATTATTTAGCGCTCTTTTCATTCAGTATTAGATTTAATGTCTCTTTAAAACGTTTATTTGCATATAATAAAAAGAAAATTTGTTTAGTTTAGTGTAAGATCGAAATATAATTCACCTTGTGAACACCAAAAGTTCATATTTCACTCGTGGCTGCGCCACTCGTGAAATATACCTTTTGGTGCTCACTCGGTGAAATATATTCCGATCTTACACTGAACTAAACAAATATCCTCTATATCTTCAATTTATAATTTGAGCCGCGTCATGACAAAACCAACATAATGGGTTTGCGACCAGCATGGATCCAGACCAGCCTGTGCTTTCGCGCAGTCTGGTCAGGATCCATGCTGTTCGCTATCAGTTTCTCTACTTGTAATAGAGTTGATAAGCGAACAGCATGGATCCTGATCAGACTGTGCGGATGCGCAGGCTGGCCTGGATCCATGCTGGTCGCAAACGCACTATGTTGGTTTTGTCGTGACACGGCTCAATTTATTCTTTCTCAAGATATGTTTAACGTGTTACCAAAAAGACTGTTATTAAGGGCTGTATTACCTTGATTTAATCAAAACAATCTTAATCCATAAAGTTATTTACATTATTTTTTATTATTTCTTTAACCCTTTTTATACTTTTTTAAATCATTTACAGTATATCAACTTCAAGCGTATCTGTGATAGATATACTATTTTTGTTAATTGACAAATGAGCCGTGTCATGACAAAACCAACAGTGCGTTTGCGACCAGCATGGATCCAGACCATGCTGTTCGCTTACAAACCCTATTACAAGAAGAGAAACTGATAGCGAACATCATGGATCCTGATCAGACTGCGCAGGCTGGTCTGGATCCATGCTGGTCGCAAACGCACTATGTTGGTTTTGTCATGACACTGCTCAAATGTTGTTGGTGTTTGTAATGATGGTGCTACTGCTGTTGCTGTTCATTGGTTTTTGATAGTAATAAGTCAAACATGGCTTTGGTTCATTGTCTTGTATAGTGGTATGACCTGTTCTATGTTGAGTTGTTTGCTTATGTTCTGAAATAAAGTGACTATAAAGAAAATATTCTGTTCTGCTATGTTCTGAAAATATCGCCTTAATAACCTTGCGCCTTTCATTGACAAACAGCAATCTGATGCCTTTTTAACACTAACAACAATCGGTGCCATTCTGTGACTAACTTTATCCTGTTGTCTTTCTTTGACAAAGAAAACTCCGGCGCCTTTCTCTGAATAACATAAATCTGGCGCATTTCTTTTATAAACATCATTCTGGCGCATTTCTTTTATAAACATCATTCTGGCGCATTTCTTTTATAAACATCATTCTGGCGTATTTCTTTTATAAACATCATTCTGGCGCCTTTCTTTTATAAACATCATTCTGGCACCTTTCTTTTATAAACATCATTCTGGCGCATTTCTTTTATAAACATCATTCTGGCGTATTTCTTTTATAAACATCATTCTGGCGCCTTTCTTTTATAAACATCATTCTGGTGCCTTTCTTTTATAAACATCATTCTGGCGCATTTCTTTTATAAACATCAATCTGGCGCATTTGTTTTATAAACATCATACTGGCGTATTTCTTTTATAAACATCATTCTGGCGCCTTTCTTTTATAAACATCATTCTGGCACCTTTCTTTTATAAACATCATTCTGGCGCATTTCTTTTATAAACATCATTCTGGCGCATTTCTTTTATAAACATCATTCTGGCGCCTTTGTATGAATAATATTACTCTGGTGTCTTTCTATGACAAATATCAATATATCGCGGCTTTCTCTGAACATCAGTATTGCGCCTATTCATCTTTCCATGAACTCACTATCGATATGGCGCTGTTTTATTACAAAATAGTACAAGAAAAGCATTGACGCAAAGCATCAAAAGGCGTCCCAGCAAGAAATGCAGCAAGTGACGATGAACTCGTACAGGCATCAGATGACCAAATATCTTCTTATAAACTTTTCAAAGGTTACTTGGATGTTACCAGAACTGTTTATCATCCATCGATTAATAGGCGGACGAAACAGATTGTTCATCCTGAACTTTGGTAGGCTTGCTAGAGATTAAAATATTAAATGTATGAATGTAGCAAATATACAAACAGTATATAGAATAGAAACAAAGGGACTAATATAGTAATATTACATGCATTTTTCTTTCCATGTCAAATAATAAAAATGGTTTCTATTAATACCTAGGACTTATATAATATACAGAAGTTACATTTTAAGTCCCAGATTTCTGCTGAAAGTAGAACACACACTAGAATGAAAAGTTTTGGATGAATTTCAAAAAGACCAAATTCAGGATTTTTTTGTTATACGCGTTAACCTTAAAAAATTAATAAATTTGCATGGCATGTTCATATGGTGAAACATTATGCAAGGCTGTTACTTAAATTTTAGATAGGTATGAGGAAATGCATGTAAAAAACAATTTCCCTTTCACCAATCGGAACGTCTTCGGCTATTTTTATTAGCATGGAAATGCCGAAATGTTGCGATCTGAATGCGTCGCGCTTCGGCGCGGGCGCCAAACATGACGTTATTCAATGGCCAACATTATCACGGCGACTTTCTATGAAAAAATAATATGGTGCCTTCTTATCAATTTCATCGATTTCGCCCATTCTATGATTATCATCAGTCTGAAACACATTTTTTACAAACAAAATTATTTGGCGTCTGTCTGTGTCAAACATTGGTACGGTGTCTTTCTATAGCATAATTATTATGGCACCTTTCTATGGCAAACATTAATGTAACGCATTTTATGACAATAATTTATACAAGGGCGTTCAATATATTCCATAGACCAATGTCCCCATTTTCTTTATTTCAGAAGCAATTTAAACTAGAACTATCACTGAAGGTGATTAATATCCCCACCAGCAACTTGAACTTTTTGAAAAATAAATAATCTGAAGAAAAATTGTAACTATAGTAAATGAAATATCAACAGTGTACAAAGAATTATTTCAATTAATTGTAATCCCAACCAGGATCTTCATATAAACTTGCTTTAAACCAAGTTTGATAACAATATCTCATTCCTAACTCTAGTTATTATCCGGAAACCATTTTTTTTATTTTTAGTAACGATGACCTTGACCTTGACCCTAGAAGGATCAAATGCAATACCAACTGGGGTCTTTATAAAAGCTTGCTATACACCAAGTTTGATTAGAAAATTTCATTCCTAACTCAAGTTATTGTCCGAAAACCATTTGTCTGTTTTAAGTAACGGTGACCTTGACCTTGACACTCCGGGGGGTCCAAATGCAATACCATCCAAGGTCATCATATAAGCTTGCTATACACCAAGATTGACTACAATATCTCATTCCTAACTCTAGTTATTGTCCGGAAACCATTTTTCTATTTTAACTTATGGTGACCTTGACCCCATGGGTCCAAATGCGTTACCAACCAGGGTCTTCATATAAGCTTGCTATACGCAAAGTTTGATCATAATACCTCATTCCTAACTCTAGTTATTGTCCGGAAACCATTTTTCTGTTTTTAGTAACGGTGATCTTGACGTTGACCTCAGGGGGTCCAAATGCAATACCAACCTGACTTTTCACATAAGGTTGCTATATACCAAGTTTGATTACAAAACCTTGTTCCAAACTCTAGTTATCGTCTGGAAACCATTAAATGGACCGACCGACGGACGGACCGACAAGCTAACTCCTATATACCCCATTAAACTTCGTTTGTGGG